TTTTGGAGCAGAATTAGATTGGGAAAAGCTGTGGCGGGACCAGGTGTTCGGGGCCAAGCTGGCGTCGATGCCACTCGCCACCACAGCCGGCCATGCCGATCGATGTTTGTCTTCAACGCGGGAATGTTTTAACTGATCCTGCTAAATCCTAACTAGACCATGTCATGTCATCTTATCTGTCGTATTATTAACCATATTGTCTGATTCGATTTTGGCATTGGAGCTGATGAAATCGACCGAAACATGTTGTTTGCAAGGATGATGTTCTAAGTGGAGTGATGTAGGCTCCTCTCGGTCTTCTGTCGGCCATCTTTACAGAGTTGCTAGTGACGTGTTGCCAACCAATGGAGGAAAAGCCGGACCTGAGAATCGGGGTCGGCGGCAGGGGCGGCAGCCCTTAAATAACATCACCAAAAGACCCAACGAAGACACACTGGCTACACTACGTAGTTATACTAGTTATACGTAGTTAGTCAATTACTTGTTTCTGCAGCTCAAAACTCCAGCAGGATCAGGCCTGTTTGATAATGAGCCCAACCTTGGTTTGTCCAAGAAAGACTGAAATTCCTTCATTGCTAATCGTTTTCATGGTTCCGAAAGAAAGATGCAGCAAGTTTGTGAGTGACACCCTTCAGAATTGGATTGGACATCCAGATTTCGATGTCAAGGAGATTCTGCCTGTCTGAGCCCATGAGTCCCAGCCGTCCACCGTCTCTCTCAGCCCGGCGTCCAAGACGTCCAGTTGCGGTAGGACGGGCTTGGGCCGCTGCGACCACACAGCCACGCTTGCGCGTCGGGTTCCGTGGACGTCTCGACGTGTTTCTGTTTAGGGGGGCCTTCTGGGGACCGTCCATCTTTCTTTCGGACGCCTCTCCACATCAACGACAAAGCTCGGAGAGAATTGTCCGAACAAGTAGATGCTGCTTGGACAGTTTTTCTCTGACTTGCTGCATGGACCGTCCACCAACTGCTTTTGAGGACTCCCCCGCACACTGAACGCGGCTCTCCGAACACACCACGAACCGACCGACACGAACGTTCCGAACGTAAACCACGCCCAGCACCGAGACACTGCTGAGTCCGCGTAGGCGAGATCCAGGCCCAAAGACCTGCTGGCGAGATGCTCCAACAGCGGGCGACGGGAAAACCGACCGATGAGGAGAGGAAGTGATTTCTCTTCTCGGCTGGCCATTTTTTGGGAGGTCTCGTCCTCCAAAAGCGAGGGCAATCATGTGAAGTTAGTGAAATCAAGGAAGAGAGGTTCTCGCATTTTCAGGATCTCAAAACAGATGTTTGCAGGGAGGTTCTTGGAAGGTCTACAACCTCCAAATGACGTTGAGCATGAGCTCTTCGGTGGCTTTCAAATCAATCATGTTTGGAACAATCAGAGCTGTTTCTGGTCGTTTGGGTTCCATTTTGCAACCATTTCCCGCTGGCCCGTCATCAACTACCCTGCCTGGCGCTGCCCACGGGGATCTGCGTCTCCTATAACAAGCACAAAGAAACTATATATATATATAACTCATTCCCTTCCTGACATGGAGTGGCGGGATTGTCAAATCCTATCACTGATTCCGTTCCTGACATGGAGTGCATGTGCAACAAGCTTTGGTTGCATGGACGGGTCACTTATCCACAGCATGCACATCATCAACAAAATAACTATGGCAACTATGGATATGCGTCTTTGGTCACATTCATTCCGCCATCTATACACACACACTCCCCAATTTCCGTGCTGAAAAAACGGGGCAGGAAAATCACATTGAGACCATTTAGCTGACCCGACCATCACGCTGAGAAAGCTATAAACTATAAACCCGAATCTTAGAGAATGCAGAATAAACCTCCGGGTCAGGCCGTTTAAGGTGAGGTTGAGATCAAGATCAACGGCCTGCGGCAGCCTTTCACAGGCCGCCCCTCAAACAAGTGGTCTTTCTTCTTGCAGACTTGTCTTGGTGCAATATGTTGACACGTCTAATGTAGACTGTAGGGGCCACGGTTCAAAAACATGTTGTCCGTCTTCGTTCATCGCATGTAGATGCTCCGCAACGCACGCGGCACCTTGGCGCGTTGCATGACCAGAGTCACCTGCCACGGACGTGTTCGCCCCGCTGTGGCGGTGTCTTTTGATAGAGGGAATCCTTGCATTTTGAAGCCCCAAGGTAAAGGAACCTAGTGAACATCACACAACATGACCAAACCCATTCTGGGACCCATACACATCCAACTTGGCAGTTGGTCACAACTAATATCCAGGCTGCACTAGCCACTGGAGTCCCACTGGCCAGCCATGATGAGTTTTTCTGGACATCCAGAACTCCGGTAGATTCACTTTTATTCATTTCGACTCCGCAATGGTGGACCGGAAGCCAAAGGTGCACTTTCCTTTTGAAGCAACGTTTTTTTTGCATTGAGCTCCTGCTCAAGCATGTCGCAACGCTCTGCCCACTCGCACGCACCTTTTTCTATCCTTCATCCTCCCAAGCCGCGATCGGCACGAAACAGCGATTTCTCCGGTTCTTCGTTGAAACGTCCTCCGTTCGCCGCAGGATCGGCGCGTGGTCTTCGCCGAAAACTGATCTACTCGGGTCCGCTCAGGTCGCCCCCCGATCTGGGACTCCTCTCGGACGCTCGAAGCCTCGCAGCGGAGCGGCATCTGCCCGGCTCATCAGCTCAGCTTGAGGAAGCATCTTCCAGGCATTCAGTGCTGGAGTATTGAGACAGTGTGTCAGTGTCCTTGGCAGGGATATGTCATGATCTGTTGGTATGTCATGTCCCAAATTTGGGACGATGGAACTTAGTCAGTCCATTGTCCGTTTTTGAGGAAAATGGGCTCCTTCATTTCTAGACAAGCCCTTTCAGACCAATTCCCACAACTCCACCCTGGCGAGTTCCCGAAGTTGTTGCACAGGCCTGTCTCATTGCCAAACTCCTACCTGCTCTACGTACCATCTACTTCTACTCAGCATTCAGCGAGCAAATTGATGACCCCTCGATCTTCTTCAGCACCATCTCGCTGGTCCATGGGCCACGGCTCATCGTCATCATCTAAGATCTTGCAAACATCCAACACCCACTGAGCTTCTGTGGGATCCTTCAGAAGAACCGAACACATGGCAGGACTGCAAGGACATGAGCTCCGGTGGTGTTTCGGTACGGCCACCGACTGTGGTTTTGTCGTGAGAATGACCAAAGCAGGTGACTTGAACATCTCCAAACCACTGGAGACTCCCGGCCAACAAACCTCTTGCTCAAATGTCTCAGACTATCTCAGACTCCTTGACCATTCTAGTGGCCCTAGTGATTTGTTTCTCCGCTTTGATCGTTCGCAACGGCACATGCCTTGGCTTTTGCCCAACCAGATATTTCTTTTCAAATGGAAAGCAGTCGCTTCCGTGTCCTCCAAGAAGTTGCGGAGCCGCTTCCAACTGCCGCAGCCCGCCAGAAGGATTGCTTCCTATCGGTTCATCGGTTTCTCCCCAAAGTGGATGTCTGGTTTTGCATATTCAATATATATATATATACATAATATAATATTATATTATATTGTATTATACTATATTATATTATATTATACTATACTATATTATATTATATTGTATTATATTATATTGAGAGGTGCTTTGTTTTGTGTTTTTTCTAAGGATCCTTTGGGAGTTACTCTTGGGCTCTCTTGGGCATTTTCGGTTTGGGCAGTGCGGGGAGTTGGTGGATGGAGCCAACATGGGTGGAGTTGGACTTCATTTCAAGCAGGATGCAGGTTTTTGTCACCACCGGAGGGACTGGACACCTCCTGACCATCCAACTATTCGTGGGCTTTAAGACCTATATACCTTCATTCTCTGGTGCTCAGTAGGGAGGAAAGCTCCCGAGTCACTCGGAGGCTTGTTTCGTGATCCCAAAGAAGGGGGTTGTGGTGAGACTCGAAAGCCATGGCCTTCGACCAAGAGCTCAAAAGCTGTTTTTTCAGAAGTTCTTTCAAAGCCGTTCTAGGACGATCCGGATCACAAGAGGCCAAAAGAACCTGAAGTCGGATGGACACAGGAGTCTCATGTGCGATCTCATGTGCGAAGGATTCAGCTTTTGGGGTCCACAGTGAATTGTGTTTTTTTGCATCACTCTCGCGGAGGTTTACAAAAAAGTTCCAACAGCACCCCCTCATACACAGGGTTTCCTTGGGCACCAGCCACCACTGCCCTGGATTTTGGATTTCACTACTGCCCTAAGGTGCTGCTAAGCCACCACTACTCCCAATATTCTATTGATTGCTGCTTAGCAGCGCCTTTTCACTCTTTCTTTCCTCGGGGTCCTCCAAGTCTCGTGCAAAGCTTTCCGAGCTGCTCCAGAAGACGTGCCGCCACGTCCGCTTGAAGCGCAGCCGTTGGAAGTCGTTACTTTGGTAGTTGAATCGCGGAGACCAACCTGGTGGGATAAGAGATCTGGAGCACGAAATCGATCTCCCCAATACATTCTTCTTGGATGCGTGTACCGGAAGTCACCCATGGAAATACCCAGATTCATCCGGATTGCCAGGTGGTGGAGGATTTCATGCTGGTTCCAAACAAAACCACCACCGAACTTCGTCGTGTGGTCCAACGTTTGAGATTTCATAGATTTCCAGACATCTAGCGGTGGCAAACTATTTTTCTGAGCGTTTCTATGCCAAGCTGTGACTGCCTGTCAAGTCCTATACCTCGGGGTCCTGGTTCACTTATTACAACTTAACCTTAAGACGCCACACTAGAGGCAAATTTGATGGCACAGCCATGGTCGGGATTGGTGAAACACATCAACCGGCGAATGATGCAGAACTTAATACAAGTCATACATGTGAATACACATCATTGCGCTTTCTATGACTTCGCCAAATACAACATGATTCTGAAATTTCTGAAATCACTAGATGTGCTTTGGCAAGTACAAGCAGGCGGCGCGGCGGCACGAGTACCAGTCACCAGAGCTGGCTAGGATGACGGAGAAAGGCTCTGAGCACCAAGCTACAGGAAGCCCCTTCAACCTAATAGCGATGGCCTCCAACCTAATAAGAACTTCTTGCTCTTCCTTGTGCCTTTGCTTCCTCTCAGCGACCGATGTTTCGCTGTTTCCGCGGTCCCACCTGGAAGCAAAGCATAAGCGCTGACGAGCGTGAGCACAAATGCCACCGAGCCGTAGAACAACCAAGCTTGCAACAGCTGTTGAAAGGTTCCTGACAGCTGTTGCGATGCATAGGCTCACAGTTCTGAGTTCGGGAAGTTGGTTTCGTCTATCATAAAACACAGGCAATGAACAGTACAAAGAGTGAAAGCTATGGACTGGACATTCTTTTTAAGCGCAAAGACCATGCAGAAGGTCCTTCCGTCCAACGCAAGTTTCAAACAAGTTTCATTCAAGAGAACCTTAAGAAGAGACAGCGCCAAAAGCACAAAACAACCAGAAGGATCTTCAAATCCTAAGGTAAGCACAAAATGAGAAGCTGCAAATCTACCTTGCGGGATTGACAGGTGGGTGAACATTCTCTCCACATGCCCCTTCTTCTGAAGCTCTTGTTTCACTGGGAGCTGCCTCCTACGAAATTGAGGAATAATTAATTTTGTTTGGTTGGACATCTAGCAATCCGTCAGTTGGCTCCTGATTTCAGCGTAGACCTGGAAACATAGGCAGTGACCAAAAAGCAGCCCAGGACACCACAAAGCAGCAGGATGGACAACGAGCGAAAGAGCCTCGTCTTCCTTATGGTGTAGCGCTGGCATGTGGGGAATTTCGAGATTCTCTATAAAGGCTTGCCATGACGATGAACACCGTTTGCAACCGTTTTGTCAACCGTCGGTCTCGACCGGTTCGGCTTTAGCATTCAATCCAACAGCGAAGGCCTTCGCCCACGTCCAGTCGGAGTGGACGTCATGGACTGCGTGGTATGTCCCGTGCGAAGGAGGGTGCCCTGTTGGTTCTTCACAATGCACAGTTGCAACCATAGAAACTAGTTTGTCCACGGAGAGCGGCTTCCACATATAAAGATCCCTCTCTCTTTCTCTCTGTCTGTCTGTCTATCTGTCTGTCTTTCTATCTATCTATATATATATTATGTGTGCATGGACGGAGAATAGCTGCTTTTTATATGGACCATATTGCGTGTATGATTGCCGGTCGCATAACTCTGGTCGAAGCTGCTCGAAGTCCCACTTCGTTGCCAGGTATTTGCCGGTGCAAATGTCAGTGCCGCGCGTGGTCAGCACCACCAGCACACTGGACGCCACCAGGCTGCAACAAATGAACAGGCAAAAGTAATTCGCGATGCCAAGCAAGTTGTAGCCTCACTTTACATGTCATGTTCGAATATGTTCGACAGTCGACCCTGGGCCAGCATCTTTGCTGAGAAACATGCTTTCGCAGGATGCCCCCGAGCCCTGGAAATCAGCAACTTGTTTCCTATCCCAAATTGCTATGTGGGATCTACGCTATTTCAAAAGAGACTCATGGTTTCCATAGGGAGGTAGAAAAGTAAATCCTTCAAATGTATTGGGATTCGCTTCTTTTTCATTCTTTTTCCCCAAGTCATCCGAAATTTGAACCCGACACCAACTTTGACAGGAAAGAATGCAAATCAAGGCTAATCCTTCCAGGAAGCTTCTCAGGACCGGACCTTTTCCTCAATATCATTCGATGGCTATTTTCATATATTTCCATGGCTATTGATGAGTTTGGCCATGTCTCATGTCATGTTGGTCAAGCCAAACGGTGGCTCGCCATGTTGACAGACTGTCGGCCCTCTTTTCGCAAGTTGTGAGGTGCTCAGCCTGGGGTCCTACACCAGATAACCCACGTTCAGCCGCAGTGCTTCTTCGACGCACCAAACGATGTCGCCAAGTGACCACCCTCTAGATCAAGACAGTGACCGTGGTAATCCACATTCAAAGTCCAACTGGCAAAGTTCACTTCCTCAAACCAGTCACTGGGTTGCTTGGAAATGGAGGCCTGTTCTATGTTCTATCTACCTGATGCAATGTGTATGGTGTAATAGCATGGAATAGCGTCTTGAGTTTGTAAGGGACCCAAGCCGTCTCATTTCAGCAAGCCTCATCAGCACATATGAAATGATACGGACATGTTGAAGGTCTTTGGTGCAACAAGCACTTTCACAAGCTTGGCAACAAGAGAAGCAAACATCGACAGAACACTGAAGACTTGCCTCGGTCAGACAAACGACAACACGTCTGAGCGCGTCTTCAACTCACGGAGTTCTCCCCAGAGACTCGCCCCCCATTCTGTATCCACTCGCAGCAAGCGTCTGTACAACAATCAAAGAATCAATGCAAAAAAAGTTCCTGGTACAGGACACTCGCAGAGTGGATACCACTTCAAACCAGGACCAAGTCATGAGTGGTACCAGAGTGGATATGTACCGACTGAAGGTCCTGCTGGTCCGGTCGAATGGCGGAATGCGAGGAATGCGTCTCTTTGGCGCGTCGTCTCCGGCGAAGACGACGGGGAATCATTGAGTCATTGACCTTGTTGAACCTGTGTAAGCATTGATTGGGAGGGGAAAGTACCTCAGGAGCGGACATTCATATTTCGAGGAAGGACGTCTACCATCGGATCTGCAAGATTCATAGGGGGAACAACCATTATTTTTCCAAGAAATCGCCTCGTGGAATGTCGAATTGCTCATTTTGACGACGTACTCCGGTCCGAGTCAAACAAGGACCAGACCTTGCGCTCCATTCCAAGACCAGGTGGTTGTGGGTCCCCCCATGCGAGGCAGGCGTCATTCTGCACGCAGAAGACGTACTCTCCCAGCGTCTTGGCGCCAGCGCCTCGAATCTCTTGGTCCACAGCAGTCTGATTCACTTGCACATCGGTATACCAGAGGTAGAGGTAGGCAGTTGTATCTGTCAAGAGAGAGTAGTGCCCAATAAAGAAGAGCCAGATTGGACACCACTCCTTGGATTTCGGATGCGACCTGCTAGCTGGGGAGGCAGCAACAAACGTCGGTTCCCTATCAGTGTTCAAGAAATTTCAAGAACGCTCGAAGGGTTTTTGAGGTTTGCATAGGTTTGCCGTTCTTCAAATGTCCAGCCCTGCATCACCTGAGAATTTTCTTTCAGTTGGTGTTGGATTGACAAGGTACAACTGCAAGGGTTTGACAACAGAAAACCCCTTCCCCTGATCATTCGAATCGGTCAAGAAAAACATTACAGAAGCAAATCCAGGATGCGGACACCACTAGGTGCAGGATAGTTGCAAGAACAGGGACCTCATGCACAGGAGGGATGCCCATTCAAAAGTTTCTAACTTTTCCTTGAGCAGTGAAATGCTGCGTTCTTTTGCTGACTCTTTGTGTACTTGGCTAGGGAGATTAGTTCCGGACGAGATCGGGCTAAGTCACCCCTGGTAGTGGCAACCTTCCACAAAAAGAAAAAAAACCGAATACTAAAACTTCCAAATGCCAACTCTCACGCAGGTGGGGAAGTGGGTCAGCCAGGCCTGCTTCATAAACTGCCCTATCAGCAGGATTCCATTCCCTTGCTGCTCTTGGACTTCTGGCCAAGCCTTCCAAACCCACCCCTGGATGCCAAGTTCTGCGCATCAAAAGGCTATTGCTGGACAACAAGCCTCCTCGAAACCAGGGGGGGCTACAATAACTCCAATGGACGCAACTGCGAGTTGACCTGCACCTACTTCCACACCTTTAATTTGTCATAGGATCCAATACGTGCGCAAGGCAAGCTCCCACAGACCAAACACCGAACACCCGTTAATTGCCCTCCCCACATCCAATTTCCTTTCAATGACTTAAAGTGTCCTGACCAACCGAAGCGGTTGAGTGATGTTGAGTGACACAACCACCCAACGCCTTCCAAACCCACCCAACGCACGCCTCGTCAGCCTCCTTGATGGTCTCAAAGATCTGCTGTGAGGGCCCCGCCGTGCCGTTGGCCGACACAATGCGGTCCCCCACCTGCACCCGGAAGGAGCCGTGCGCCAGCGCGCTGCTCCCAAGGCGCGCAAACGGCAGGAGGGACGTATGAAGGACGGAGGCGTGTTGAGTCACTACCACTAATAGCTTCTTGTTACTACTAGTAAGGCACTTGTTACTAGAAGCGATGCACTTGTTCCTAGTAGCTTCTTGTTACTACTACTAAGGCACCAAACAACAGGTCACCTAAGTCGTTGGACCACCACGAGGGCCTGTCAGCAGTCCTTGGTGAAGGACGTTCTGCAAGGCCAACTCATTTTTAGATTCATAGTGTATAGTACAATTTAGTGTATATAGTGTATGTATATATATATATAGCATGCTTAGAACATGCGTTTTCACAGGTTCCTCTTTGTAGTCCACAATCTTTTCGACCACTCCTTCCAGCTGTGCACCTTCAACCTCCCCCAGGTGTGGAGTTCTTCAGGTGGGTGACAAGCTGCAGGCTTTTTCGTTGAGCCCACATGAGCGAGATTGAAGCCCAACGTCGAGCCCTATTGGCTCCGGCCCGCGCACACACAAACATCATCAAACATCTCTCAGCCTGGTCTTTTTCTTTCCTTCCGTCCGCTCCAGCCTGCAGTCTTTGCTCCGGATTCTTCGCATTCCACTGCTCTATTGCACCCCCATCAAGAGATAGCAGCAAGCAGGGATCCTGCATGGCCAGAATGCGGTACTCTGATGTGGGTTGAAGAACTGAAGAAATGGCTGAGTTTGTTGCACATGTAGTGGTGTTCACATTTTCGTTTCAAGGATTTCCAGGACATTTTTAGAGTTTTAGAGGAGCAATGGCATGGTAATTATTTTCTTGTTTGTTTGAGGGCAATGTGTGTTTTTTTTTTGTTGTTTTTAAATGTTTTTTTAAATGTCTTTTTCGATGGCACATTTTTTTGGAAGGCAACCGGGGCTTCAGCAAACTGCCCGGAGCTGTTCTCCGCTCTAGTAGATTGTGGCAATGCAGCGCCAACAAAACTCGAGGGCCTAGCAACCTACCATTCTTCGTCGTTGGGGTGGTCTGGAGGATCTCTTGCATAAAACATCATAAAACAGTGCCATATATCCAACGAAAAGCACTCCAGGGACAAACAGTGGGATCCCTGTCTCACCCATGCAGACACCGGGTGCCTACCTGCAGTTGCAAACACCTCCAAGTTCCAGTCCTTTCTACAATTCCAACCAACCAAGCCGCACAGTGTGCCCCTGCAAAGAAGCACCGCGCGCGTTGCCCGCGCGCGTTGCCCGCGAGCGGGTCCTTGGGATCTAGATGGAGATTCTCCTCGAGACATGGCCCGATGAGGCGAATCGTCGAACAGCCGAACTGGGCATGACGAGTTGGAGAAGACTCTTCGAAGGTCCACTGACCTTCTGTGACCTACGCCATCATTCTGACCTTCTGTGACGAAGACAAAAAGCAGAACATGTGAGAAGTTCAACCATTTTTTTGGGTTCGGGGCTGGTGGCAAACATCTCTGCATTGACACCATCTTGCGAATACTGGACATCACCTTGAAGTCATAAGACTCTCCCGAGAAGAGACTCAGTCAGTATCGCTTTGCCAACTTCGGATCCCACATCGCAGCTGTGCCTTGAAATCATACTCCAGAGTGAAACCGAAGCTTCCGCTACCTCAGCGACCCCCCCACCCGGAGAATCTAACGCTCCAAAGAATCGAACCTCGAGGCGAAGTGAGGTCAGTGATCCATCTGAATTGAATTGTAAACTCATTCATTGCACAAGATTCGATGGCCTCCACCCTAATAGCAATGGCCTCCACCCGAATAGCAATGGCCTCCACCCTTATGGCAAT